CTCCAACGTGCATCTCATTCACCTTGATACACAGCCCTAGCCCTGGAAAGCGTAGGCTTTGAGAGGCACTGACTTGCATATGCTTCTGCAGTTGGCCTTTCCTTGGTGCTGTCTCTCTGCCACTTAGAAGCTTGGACAGTGAACTAAGTGAAGCAAGTGCGGAGCTGCTCTGCTTTGCTCTGAGGACTTTGAACCGCCCCCACCCTGCTGTTCGCATGAGCCCTATGTTCCCCGTTGCTGCAGGCCAGGCTGCCCAGCCACCAGCAATGGGTTGTCAAGCCCTGCTTACTGGCTTGCTCCCTCGTCACCCCCCCTGCAGCTCATCTCTCTTCTTGGGCAAGGGTTTGGTCTCCTTGGTGAACAGCCTGATTGTCCGTGCACTGCTGTCTGTGTGAGTTCCTGAGAAATGAGGTATTTCATGTTTGCATGCTGAGCCCCTGCTGAGCAGCACGCTGAAGCCCAACTTGCGTTACAATTCCCCATGGACTCTGTGCTTCCCAATTTCCGACAGATTCGTTTTCACGGAAGGACAAATATGAAATGAGTCACTCACTGTGCTGGGAGGGAGTGAGCTGGTGCCAGAGTACCCTGTGCATCGCCCTTGCTGCTGACCTGCGCCAGGGGTGGAAATTGCTCCACTCCAGAGGCATGCAAGCCTTTCCAGCGGGTGCTCATGCCATTTCCTCCTTTGCCAGGCTGCTGGGGCAGCATTCGGGCTGGTGGCCTCAGGGAGGACCCCCCAGCCAGTAACGCACAGCCTGCGCCTGCCTGCCGCCTGCGCCGGCTCACTGTGGCAAGCAGCCCTGGCACAGCAAGGCTGGGGCATGGCTCTGTGCCCTCGGCAGGCCCCTGCTTCTCCACGGCGGCTATGTAGGATCAAACAGCTCCAACACATCTCTGAGAAAGCGAGCGAGTGTTTGTATGTGTGAGGCTGGAAAGAGCTCAGTGTCCAGCTCCTGGGGGGTTATTGTAAACATGGAATGAAAATGATTTGAAAAAGGATGCCAGCTCCCTGGGCCTGGCTCCACGAAAGCCAGAGGCAGGGGCAGCTGCGACCGGATACCGGAGGACCGTCAATGGCTTCCTTTGGTTTACAGTCCTCATTCCTTGCCTCCAGCAGGGAGGCACCAGCGCCCACAGCCCTGCTGCAGGCTGGGGCCCCGAGGCGCTGCCCCAGGAAGGCGTGCTCCCTTGTGAAGTCACAAGGCTGCTTGTTCCAAGGAGTGACCCAGAGGAATTTGTTTGCACCCTGAGTGAGCCTGCATCAGGGTTGCTTTGCTCTAGTCTTTAGCAGTGCCTGGGCTTTTGGCTTCTTTTGCTTATGGCTTTGTTTATGGTGTTGATAATTTTCTTGTGTCAGGTTTAGGCACCAAGCATTCCTTCCACTGCTGCATAAGAAAGTAATTAGGTGAGGATGGAAAGGACATTCTTTTTCCTTAGAACAAAGAAACAAGCCATGGCTTTATCGGGCACTGCTCACTGGATTCAAGAGCTGCGGACTCCCCACTGCAAGCTTGTGCCCAAGTGACGGCTGTGCTTCAGTGGTGCAGATGGGAGAGCTGATCATGCCCCAGGAAGTGTCAAAGCAACCCCTGGTATTTGCTCTGAGGCTGCTGCCCTGGGGAGCTAGCTGCCATAGCCAAGGTCAAAACCTGAACCCACACAGCTCCCGTTGCTCCCGTCACACTTGCCCGCAACCAGGAGGGAATTGCCAAATTACCTCCCCGCTTCATCACTTTTCATGCCTGCCAAGAGGACAACGCTGCTGTGGGGGTTTCTGCTTGCGTTGCTGTGCTGTTGGCGAGTGCGCCTGCAGGGATACCAATGCTGTGGGCCCTGGTCCCTGTTTTGCTCCAGAATCGGCTACTCCCAAGGGATTTATCCCCTCTGCTCCTTCTTTGTGGGCTCCTCCACACCCCAACGTGTGGGCTGGTGGAAGTACTCCCAGCCCAGGGAGGGTACAGCTGTGCTCTGAGGGGACCTAAAAGGGCAGAGGCCATAGCAGGGTCTCGCAAGAAGCTCTTGGAGATGCCATCTGACCCTGGTGTCTGTGCTACCACCTCCTTAACCCTGCAGTGGCTGGGACCCTTGCTGGCTCCCTAGTTTTGAGCTGGGATTTAGAGAGTGGCTGTGACTCCAAGGCCTGGCAGGGGGTAGGAATGTGGGTGCCAGCCCAGGGTGGCAGCGCAGGCAAGCAAAGCTCCCCTCTTTGCTTCCCCCTTTTCCCAGTGCTCGAACTGTGAAGAGCAGCAGGGAAGGGGTGAGGGCAGCTGAGCCCAAGAGCTGTGGGAGTGGGCAAGGGAACAGGTGGGTTGGTGGTGGCATGGAGAGGGACTTGGAAAACCAGGAGCAGGGTTTTAGCAGTGGCTAGGAACAGGATGGGCAATGCAGTCTCAGGAGGGTCTGCTCAAGCCTCACTTGCCAGCCAGAGAGAGCCATCTGGTTGCAGTTGACTCTCAGGACACTGAGTGTTTGCTGGAAAGGTGGACAGCACGTGTCCGGCCTGGAGGCCCCGGTGATGGGCCCGAGGCCTTAAGCCTACCAGGAGAGATGCTCCCAAGACCCCGAGGGGCTCTCAGACACCAGGCAGGGACCCTCCAGAAAAGCAGATTTCACTGGTGTGGTAAGGCACAGGTGTTCCATGGGATAGGACAGTTCAGAGATGGATCAAATATCCATGATGTGTTGGAGTGGGGGAAAAACCTGACAAAGAAAGAGGCAGTGGGGAAAGAGGAGCTGGAGCCACCAATTTCAAACAGGAGAGGCTTTAGGAACACACATGGTGGAGGTTGGAGAGGAGGCAGGGCCCCCCGCCACAAACCCTTTGGGAAGCAGGTGGTCCATGACAGCCAGGGGAGGCAGGCCTCTGTGACAGGCGAGGGAGAGGAGCCTGATGGCAGGAGAGGCACATTGGTGGGAAGGGGTCCCGGAAAATGCTGGGGGATGGTGGGTGTGGAGCAGCCCCCCCCGCCACAAACCCTTTGGGAAGCAGGTGGTCCATGACAGCCAGGGGAGGCAGGCCTCTGTGACAGGCGAGGGAGAGGAGCCTGATGGCAGGAGAGGCACATTGGTGGGAAGGGGTCCCGGAAAATGCTGGGGGATGGTGGGTGTGGAGCAGGGGCTGCGCTCATGTAGCATTGGTGGGGCTGGCATGGGGGAGCAGGAGAAGCTGGAGCCAGCTTCCCTCGGGTCTGTGTGTTTACAGGTATTGGCAGGAGCTGGTCTTGGGGTCACTGAGGCAGCTTTGCCTGCTAGTGTGTAGCACAGAAATGGAGACAGCTTGTTGATGGTGAGGTGAAGTGTGGGCATTCGTTCATCCTAAGCACTACAAAGGCGGCAGAAGACTAAGTAGAGTCTTCTGCCAGGACTCCCTGGCATCAAAGCAATGAGTGGGGGGACGGGGGAGCTAGAATGGTTGCATGCAGGGGACTAGGACACAGTCCCTTCCTATTTCTTATAACAACAAAATCACCAGTGAAATCATCAGGTGCGAGATTAAAACAAGCCAAGTGTACAGTGCATATTCAAGCACTGGAAGTTACTGTGGATGTTGTAGACCTCCCCATATCAGTGAATTTAAAAACAGGTTAGGTAAATTAATGGGTGGATATGACAATTTGCCTCTTAAACCCAATGGCCTAGCTGCTGCATCTGGCTCAGTGAAGCCCCTGCACCACAGGTTGCTGGAAGACATAAAGGTGTACCAGAAGGATTGCTCTATACATACTCTGGTTCTCATATTTTTCCATAAACATCCTCTAGCTGCTCTCAGCAATGGGATGATGAGTGAAATGCGCCTTTCATCTGACTGGTGACAAAATGAGCCTGGCATTGTGAGACTAGCTTAGCAAGTGTAACCGGCTGATGCACTTTGTAGCACCTGCCACCAGGGACTTGCGCCGGTGGGTATCTCCTCCCCTTGAGCACTCACTGTGCCCTCCTCTGCCCTCCCTGAGCCCAGAAATGTGATGAGAGTCCTCTAGTCACCTGCCAAGCTCATGGTCACCACTGCAGGCAGAGCAAGCCCACTGTTAATGTAGCATGTGGTAGGTTGGGGCTCAGCCTGCACTCCTCTGGCAGGACTTGCTCCCTGCCTGAGGTGGCCATGGGGAGCACAGAGCAGCAGCAATGTGGCAGAGGACAAGGCCAAGCCAATGTGTGTAGGGGGACTGAAAGGGGACTCCTGGCCCCCTGCTCCCTCCTCCTATTCTTCCCTCAATCTTTCTCAAGGCATTTAAGCAGTCATTTCAAGTTATCCCTCAATCTCCAGGTGCCCATGTAGAGGCAGCTGAGGGGAGGGAGGGACATATACTCTAAGCTGTTGGGACATGTATCCTGGAAGGCATCTCTTAGCTGAAGGACCAACAACTTTGGATGGTCCCCCTTCTAGCCTGGGCCCCATATATGTAAGTGTCTAAAGCACTGAGCTGGATTTGGAGGGATCTGAGAGTGTTAAAGCCAGGGTGAGATGGTAAATACGGCTCCTCCCTTTGCTTTGCTTCAGCTCCCTCCTGGGAAATGGGGCCAGAAGCGGCAAGAGGGCTAGCAGTGCTGATGCAGCTCCAGGAAGTCCCCAAATGCAGGGGATGCGGTGGTGTGTTTCCTGGGCATCCATGTCTCCTGGTCTGTATGCCCCACACTCACACCTGATCCACCTTTCCTGAGTGCTTACAGCTGCGCGGAAGCCCGAACACTTGCTGTGAGCCGAGCTGCAGGCTTGCCCCGCGGCGGGGAGGGCTCTGGAGGCTACGCGCCAGCTCCCGGGCAGGCACTGGAAGGGCCTCCCTGGCCACGCAGGGGTTAACGCCTCTCTGTTGTAGTTTGTTTCCCTTTGCCAAAGTGGGTGTTGCTGGAATGTCTCCTCTCTAAAGGAGGGGGGCTGAGCCGTGTCCTCTGGAGAGGGGGGATGTCAGCATCAAAAAGACACAAAAGGGGGAGGTTTCCAAAAATAAAACCCTCCATCCCCTCCAGACTCTGCCAGTGCCAGAGGCAGGCGAGAAGGTGCTGGGAGCTGTCTGCAGAGCACACGAGCTCCCTGACAGCCAGGCGAGAGGGGACCGGAGAGGAGGGACTGGCAGTTCTCCTTCTGCAAGGCAGGAGGGACAGCTGCAGACGCGCTCCACAGCCCACGCCGTTGGGTTAGCTGGGTTATCTTCACCCCTGGATCTTGTAGGCAACAGGTACTGGTGAAGCCCCGGTGACATGGGGAAGTGACTTGCTGCTTCAACAGACTCATTCGAGGAAATTGGCTGGTCCCTTCTCCCTCTGAGCTCCTGCTGGACACCAGGCTGCAGGAGGATGCCAGCCCCACGCTGAGCGCTGAGCGTTCGCTGCACCTCCCGGGTCTCGCCTTTGCCCACGGGCTGACACAATGCGGTGCGCCGGGGGGAGCGTCCTCCCTCTCACGTTTGTCATTTTCTTGGGACTTGGGGATTCGCAGCGAGACTTTGCTGTAAGGTTTGAACCGAGCGCCTCTTACCGAGCTGAACCTGGGAGTAGAGAGGCAACGCGGCCAAGGCTTCGGAGCCAGGGTGCTCCCGTGCGACCCGCGGGCACAATGTACAACCTGTTCCAGGTGCAGACCCTCCCCTCGGAGTCAGGGCCCCTCCCCGCAGCCCGTCACCTGGACCACGTCTCTGCAGCCAGGATGGGGAGCCTGAGCAGAGGGGACAGCCGGAGGCAGCGTCCCGATCATGGACTGTCCGCTCCCCAGGGTGCTTGGAGCCAGGCCAGCGATGCCAGAGGGGCTGCAAGCTCCCCCAGCCGGGGCCTCAGCCCCAGCTCTGGCCAGAGGCAGAGGGGGGACCCCTCCCGCCAGCGGCCCAGAAATGGGCTCAAAGCTCGAATCGTGCCCCGGGCAAAGGAGCCAAGTGGCGGAGGGAGAATGATAGGGTAAGTTTTGTGGCTAGAGGGACTTTGCTTTAGGACCAGATGTGTAATGTGATTCCTGGAGGTCCTGAACTCAGGAAATCGCACAGCGGAGATGCCAGAGCCCATTCTGGTGCCTGTGCTAGCTCCTGGCACATCTCCCTTTTCCCTGATAACCCAGCCTTTGCCTCCCGCTCCTATGGGTGCTGCGAGAGGAGGCAGCACTCAGAGTTCGTGTGTCTCTCTGGGATGCCTGTCTCTCCGGATCTGGGGGGCAGTTATCAGGGCTGATCCATGTGGGGCTTGGGCTGTGCTGACCTTTGGCTGGCCCTGGCTTAGAGCCCAGGCTCCAGAGCAGATCAGGAGCCAGCTCAGTTACTCGCTTTTGTGCCGTGCGTCTGTCCCACATGTGCGGGAGGCGTTTGCACCGCTCGGGCGCACACAGAATGTGTGCGTGCATGTGTGCTTGTGTGAACGCATGTCTGTGTGTGTGTGAGATACAGGTGGCGGGGGAGACGCTGTGTTTGCCTGCTGCCTTTCGCTAGGGGTATGTGGTTTACGAGCGTGCTGGATTTGATGCCCTTCTGCTGACACATCAGGGCTTCAGCAGGTCAGACAGCTGCGCTGTGCTGCAGGCGGTGGCTGTTACTGTGCCTCTCTGGGGCTGTGTACAGCCATCCCAGAAAGTGTGCAGAGTGGGGGGCTGCCAGGGGAGAAGGCGTGTGTCTGCAGTGGTGTGCTCTGTTTGGGGGTGGCAGGAGAGGCTAGAGGGGCTCGCTTGGCTCTGCAGGATGGAGTCTGGCTGCAGGTACCTGGTCTCTTGGCTCCTTCCTCCCATAATGGGCCCCTTGTAAGCACTGCACGCAACAGCTTCCCATGGCTTCAGCTGGCTCAGCCGGGGGAGGCTTCCTACAACTTGCCTGGCAGAGCTGCTTCCAGCTCCAGTCCCTGGCTACAACCCTGTGGAGGTGGAGTGCAGATCATATGGCAAGGCCAGCTGCTCCGCTATAGAGGGGAGCCTGCAAATGGGATGGCCGGTGCGATGCTGACGTACCCTTCAGCCTCAGGCTCCCTCCTCTGCAGTTCCCCTCTCTGCTCCCCAATGGGTGATACCCCCTGCAATGAGCTTCTCTGCTAGCTGGGAAGAGCTACTGAAGCTGTTGCACAGACAGTTTGTAAGACCCATGTGGCAGCATGTGTCCACTCTCGATGTGAGCCCTGCCCGGGGTATGCAGAAGGCAGGCTGTGGGCTCATCACCCTCTGACATGGCCAGAGAGGAGATCCACAGAAAGACTTTCTGCTGACATTGGGCAAGGAACTTCACTGGACTACAAAAAGCAATTTAATCCCTACAGTTTCTCTCTCCTGTCTTTGCATCCCTACAAAATTTAAAGCCAGAGACACCTCTTGCTCCATTCCACGTAGTTTCCTACAGCAAACCTACAGAAGCAGTAAAAACAGCCTTACTCTGCTTCCCATTACGTTTGATATACAAAGTATTTATCATTAACGGGTAGTCAATGGCAGGTAGTCCTGAGCAGTTTCTGGCTTACCTATTCCATCAGCCTTGTTTTGTCAGTCGTCTGGAAGGAGAGTATGTTGAAATGATTCCTTGGGAAGCTCCAGTCCTGCTCAGTCAGGTGTGGGCACTCAAAAGTGGGCTCAGAAGGTTTTTATCCTTTCCAGAGTCTGAGTGGGTCAGCATTGCTTCAGGATCACGTGGCAGTTAACTGGATTTGAGTCATCTGAGATGTAGCCTGTCTCTTTTGTAATGACTACGTGAATAGTCTCCACCAGGTTTGCAGGCTGCAGCTGCCTCCAGTGACAACAGCTGGCCCCACTGTCATCAGGAGTGGGTGGGCAGCGCTGAGGTTCAGGCTATATTCAGAAGAGTTTTGAACCTCTTTGAAAGTAACCTTCATCCTTTAATCAGGGGCATGAATGAGGATGGTTGGTCCAGCATTTCTGCTCTGGTGACCTGTTATTAGCTAAATTTGGCTTCCTGGGGTATGTGAGACTGCTACTACCTCCCACCTTAGAGGAATGAAAATACTGAGACTTGCTGCTGTATTTCCCTAGCAATCTGCACTGCTTTCTTTACCTTCTGTTTGCTCTGGAAGATGAGGGCTAGGAATAATGTGCTTACTGTGGTCCTCAGGAACTTGAACTCTGGAACATGCATATAATGGCTTGTCATCGATAGCTTTCCATTTCTTCTGGAGTCCAAATCAGCACTTTTTAAACTTCCCTGTGACCGACTGTCTTTGGAGTTTATGAGAAAGTCTAGTTAAAATAATAGTGAGTAACCACATGGCGTTACTCCTCATGGAAACCTAGTTGCTGCTGTTCTCCAAGTCATTCTGTAAAATTCCCATGATTCCACCTCATCCATCTTCTTATATCCCTTGCTGCATTGGACACGTTTCCATCCAGGAAACTCAGGGCCTCCAGAAGGCTTCATTTCATGATGTTTCATTTTTTTTGCCAGGTGGGATATTTTCTGTTCTGCTGTTTACACTGCACTCCTGCTACTTTCTAGCATGACAACCTTAATTCTCCCTCATTCAGGTAGCTTTGCAGGCTGTACTAAGCCCCAGTGCTATTTAGTTATTTTGGCTTAAAATCTAAACCGTCAGGTTGGTCTTTCCTGATTCTCAAGTCACAGTTCTCTGCTTGGACCTCTAGGGGCCTCACACAGACCACCGCTCTTATTGTGAGACCGTATCCTGCAGGTGAAAAACCCAGTCGTTAGTGCTATATCCTTTCTGGATAATTATCTTCCCGCTTTGTTTTGCAAGGGTATGCTCAAGACTGAGTTTCTTGCTCAGGGACTGTTCTGATATGTCTGCCACCCTGCTCATATCTGACTGTTGCAGGTGGGACGTGCTCACACCCTTCCATGAGCGCATCCAACTGAAAGTCTTGTAAGAGCTGGATGTTAGTATTTCCTCCTGTTGGCTCACTGTAAGGCAACTTTTGACACCGCAGCGAGAATTGTAGAGAATTATTGTCTTCTAGCATTGAACAAGGAAAAAAATACAACCCCTAAAGCATCTCTTTCTGCTTTACCGTGCTCTGCTTACCCTGCTGATTTCTCCAGCCCCCTCCTAACTGGTTTCCAGACACACTTCCATCCCCCCCGACTCTTGCAGATAAGCTATTTCTACCTACTGCCATGAGGCAGATGACTTTCCAGTCCTGCGTGTTCAGTCTGACATTTAAAGTGTGTGTAAGTTCATGGATGCAGCTCCTGGTCCATGGAAAGATTTTCCTCCTGAGTGTCATGGCTAGCGAGCTCCTGAACCTGTGAAATGGCCCTGACCATGCCAGGTATGGCTGTACTCCTGTGCTGGATGTGTCCCTAACTTGGGCTGGCTAGTCCTGCTGGGAGGCCTGTTGTGATGCCATAAGCATCTTCCTCTGCCTCTGTGTCCTCTGTGCTGTGACCACCCTTGTTGCTCTGCCCCACAACCAGAAGGGTGGGAGGCCTAGGAGGCACAGGGGGAGATAAGTCAGGGCGCTGAGAGATAAGCCAACCTGCTGCATGCATCCCTTGTGTTACCACCTCATCCAGCCTTGCTGCACCTATGAAGAGGCAGACTGCGCAGATCCCCTCTCCGCACTGCAGCACTCCTGCTTCTGCCTCCTGTCCAGAGCTCAGGTCCCTCGGGACAGGAAGGTTTGTGTGGTGAAGCTCTAGGAGCCTGGAGACTCCCAAATTAGGTAGCCTGGGTAACCTGAAATACTTCCAGCTGTGAGGCTACTGTCCCTGCAGTCTCCCTATACAGTCCTCTGCTAGATACCTTAGCTACTGTATTTTCACCCGTATAATCTATATCTTAGACAACCCACCCCCCCTTTAAAAGTATTGTTCTGTGAAAATGAATCCTTAGATGATGTGCGCATCATCTTAGATGCTCCACCTTAGAGGAAGGTGTGTAGCTGGGGAGACATAGTCTGGGGAAACCTCCACTTCTGTTACCTGCATGGTCAATTTGGTGGTGCAGGGAAAGTTTTGAAGCTTTTTGACATATAATCACTGAGTATTAAGCTGCGAACCCTGAGTTCTCTCCTACCCTTTCCCTCTCACTTTCTTTTTGTGCATTTTGCACCCCAATTCTTGTTTAATCCCTGCTGTAGACACTATCTGTGGTTGTACAGTTCCACTTTACTTAGGCTTTGTGGGTTTTATGTTCTCTCTGCAGTGTGTGTATCGGACTGCTCAGGAGCTGAGGCAGTTAATGCTGATGTGGTCTTGGCAGAGCATTTTCAGTGCCTCATCGATGCCAGCAGCCTTTTGCTAATGTTCTTCCTTGGATCTGACTGCAAGGGTTTCATATGCAGTTGGATGAAGTTCACTGTCCTGCAGTATGAAGGCAGACTTGATGATCTAATGGTCCCCCTGGCCTTCAGTGTAGGATACTGTAAATGACCTGAATGGAGCCAGTGTATCTGGCAGCACAAAGTGCTGCATAAAGTTGAAAGATGATGCATAGATTGCTGTTAAATAAATAGTGAAAGAATGGTTCTACCGAATGTTTCAGAAACAGTTAAGTGATCACCACTGAGGCTGTGCACGTGCTTTAACTATGTGAATTCATGCTCTTACTACTATTTCTTTCCATAGTGTTTGTTACAGTTGCTTGTCTCTGGTCTCTGTAACACTGCAAAACTTGCAGGTTTTTATCATCCTGGATGTTTGTCTACCACCTTGCAAAGTGAGGACCTGATCCTGACGGTGGCCTCTGGTTGCTGCAGCAATACAGATCACAAAGGATTGCCTTGCTCCTTTGACCAGGTTGCAGGTCATGCTTGTGCATTCAGTCAGGGCCATGAACGGTGTTTCTTGATGTAGAGCAGGCTTCATGGCACTGGCCTCATGCTTTATGAAGAGGTTTTTATGAGATATCTGTCACAGAAAAGAAGTAGGCCAGTGATAAATAGCTCATACCTACTGTGCACCGACCTACCCGTTCTAGGTGCATGTTATCTACTGAGCCAGGGACAAGCTTGATTTTTAGTT